TGTAGTTTTGCGCCTTTCCTGGAACTTGCTTTGTAGACCAGGCTGGCCTCGAACTCACAGAGATCCGCCTGGCTCTGCCTCCCGAGTGCTGGGATTTTTTTTTTTTTTAACAGTTGGACTTACTGGCTTTTAAGATTCCCCCAGTGATGATGTCTGATCTGCTGCTGTTTATGTAGCTTATGGGTTGTGTCACTTGGACAAAGGCTGTACTGCTCACTCCCCAAATTATGCAAATCATCTCCTTTGGGAAAACAGCTTTTTTTTTTTTTTAAAAAAAAAAAAGGAACCATTTAGAAATGTGTGTGTGTGTGTGTGTGTGTGTGTGTGTGTGTGTGTGTGTGTGTGTGGTTAAATATGAATCAATTTATTTATTTTTTTTCTGACTTGACAACCAGTTAATTGGAATAAACTGTTGCCTGACGGGCCCATCCTTTGTCCTCGAGTAAGAATTTGAGTCTTTATTGTGTGCCCAGTGTGTATTTACACACCAAACACTGTTTCTTTACTAATAAGTGACAGTTTATCACGTTTGGTTTTTGAAATTTTTTTGTTTGTTGTTTGTTTGTTTGTTTTTCAAACCAGGGTCTCTGTGTGTCCCTGGCTATCTTGGAACTCACTCTGTAGACCAGGCTGGCCTTGAACTCACAGAGATCATCCTGCCTCTGCCTCCTCAGTGCTGGGATCAAAGGCGTGGGCCACCACCCAGGTTAGTTTATCACATTCTTAGTTTATAACACATTTATATCTTAAGACCAGGCCTCTCAGTTACTATTTTTATAACTGCCTTTTTAAAATTCATTTACAAAAAAAAAATTTACCTACTCTGTCTACTAAGCTTTAAAATTGGCCTGTCCAGTATCCAATAAAAGAGGATTTGGGTTAGAATTATATTTAATTAAAGATTACTTGAAGCCAGGCAGTGGTAGTGCATGCCTTTAATCCCAGCACTTGGTAGGCAGAGCCAGGCGGATCTCTGTGAGTTCAAGGCCAGCCTGGTCTACAGAGCGAGATCCAAGACAGGCTCCAAAATTACACAGAGAAACCCTGACTCAAAAAACAAAAACAGAAACAACAAAAGAAGATTACTTGACTAAATTAAATACCTAATTGGCCCCTCCATCCACATTTGTGGTATATAACACTTTATCCAGAAGGTATTTTTAATTTTAAGGAGTTTTGGATTGTTTTCTTATTGAATTACACAGACAAATGCACAAAACGTTAGTATCTAGTTTAATTGATTTTTCTGAAGCAAACACTATCACAACTCCAGCCCAGTGGAATAAGAGCATTACCTGAACCCCGAAGTTTCTCTTTTGCTGTCCCTGTTGTTACCTCCCAGGCTACTACTATATGACTGTGGAGTCATTTTGTGTTTTTGAACTACATGAGTGGCCTTTTCAGTATACTCTGCCCTCTGCCTTCTTTTTCTTAATATTAGGTTT